TGCAAAGAGACTTGAAAACATTTCCTCTTAATTCTATGAATTACTTGTCCTGGAAGAGAAAGAAATTTGAATGGCACCCAAACAGCTCGTATTTGTGTTTTTCTGAACAACTTTAAAGGGTGATTGGTGCTTGGAAAAGAATTGACCTCTTGGTTTATGAAGACAAATGCTTTTCAGCTTAATCAGAAGGTACATTCTGCTCAGTTATTTACAACCCCAGTGAACAAAGCACTCGCACTTGAAGCTACCCCACTGATTTATGAGGTCTTATGACTGTGGGCACACAAGACAGTGTAAAATGGCGGGGAAAGCCCAAGGTTTAATGACATGACCAGAGGTTTGTCTCAGATTCCCTAAGGCCTGGGGAAGCAGTCCTCAAACATTGGCCAGCCTTCACCCCAGGGACGGGACAAGTGGAGGCCTCAGGCTAGATGTTTATCAGGGAAGAGAGTGGCTATGCTAATATTTTAACTAGTTAGTGGCAATTAAAAATCAACTCTTTCAGGATAAGGGTCCTCTTGAGAAAATATTTTGCTCATGAAAACATCCGCAATTGGGTGGCAGTAGCCTGTGAGATATTATAGAAAACCTCATTAATTCAGCTATAACTCGTTAAGCAAGGGTGATGAGAGGACATGGGGTAGATGTGTGAAAATGGAACATATGAGGAATTCTTTGTCAGGGAACTCAGGGTGCTGACAGATGTATTAATTTCCTAGGGCTGCCGTAACAAAGTACCATGAAGTGGGTGTCTTTAAACAACAGAAACTTACTGCCTCACAGTTCTGGAGGCTAGTAGTCTGAATTCAGGTTGTCTGCAGGGCCATGTTCTCTCTGAGTCTCTAGGGAAAGAGCCTTTCTTGTCGCCCTCTTCTTCTGAAAGCCCCAGATGTTCCTCGGCTGGCAGATGCATCTTCTTATGGCTGTCCTTCCTCTGTCTGTCTCTCTATCTCTTCTCCTCTTTTATAAGGACACTACTCAGATTGGATCAGGCCCCACCTGATGACCTCATGTTAATTTAACTGACAGCATCTTCAAAGACGCTATTTCCAAACAGGGTCACGTTCACAGGTACCAGAGGTTAGGACTTCAACATATCTTTTTTTTTTTTTTGCGGGGGGGTTGAGGGGTATGATTCAATCCATAACAGCAGGGATGGGGAAGAGATTTTCTTTATTTTATTTTTTTTATTGTACTTCAGGTGAAGGCTTACAGAACAAATAGTTTCTCATGAAATAGAAGTACACATGTTGTTTTATGACATTGGTTAACAACCCCACAACATATCAACCCTCTAACTTCTCAACCTTTTTTTTTTTTTGCTGAAAATACACAGAGCCAAGGATACACCATTTCAAAAATTTCTACATGCACAGTTCAGTGACATTGACTACGCTCTTCGAATTGTGCTGTTATTCTCACTTAAGATGAAGGTTTACAGAACAAAATAGTTTCTCGTTTAACAGTTACTACAAATGTTGCCCTATGACAATGGTTAACAATCTCACAACACATCAACAATATCCTTACTCAACCTTGGGTTCCCTATCACCAGCTTCCTTGTCCCCTTCTGCTTTCTGGCCCTTGTCACTGGACTCCTGTACCTCGTTAGTCTCATTTGGTTTTATGGGGCTGTCTACTCCCGGGCTGAACAGTGAACCTCGGAGGTAACTTCACCACTGAGCTAAAAGGGTGTCTGGGGGCCATACTCTTGGGGTTTCTCCAGTCTCTTTTAGGCCAGTAAATCTGGTCTTTTTTTTTTGTGAGTTAGAATTATGCTGTACATCCTTCTCCAGCTCTGTCTGGAAGCCTCTGTTGTGATCCTGGTCAGAGCAGTCAGTGGTGGTAGCCGGACACCATCTAGCTGTACTGGACTCAGTCCGGTGGAGGCCTTGGTAGCTGTGGACAACTAGTCCTTCGGACTAATCTTTTCCTTGTATCCTGTTCTCTTCATTCTCCCTTGCTCCCAAAAGGATGAGACCAGTGGAGTATCTTAGATGGCTGCTCATAGGCTTTTAAGACCCCAGACACTACTCACCAAGGTAGAATGTAGAGCATTGTCTTTATAAGCTGTGTCATGCCAATTGAGCTAGATGTTCCCCGAGACCATGGTCCCCAGAGCCCTCCACCCAGCAATTCAGTCCCTCAGGGAGTTTGGATGTGTCTATGCGGCTTCCATGACCTTTCCTTGTACAAGTTGTGCTGGTTTCTCCAGTATTGTGTACTGTCTCACCCTTCACCCAGGGAAGAGAATTTTGACAGTGCACACACATTCATGTTTAAAAATTTAATCCTCATGGCAACTTTGTGCATTTGGAGTTAGCCTCTCTAAGCCTTGACTTCCACATCTATAAAATGGGAACGGAAGGAGCCCTGGTGACTGAGTGGTTAAGCACTCAGCTACTAACTGAAAGGTCGGCAGTTCGAACTCACCAGCCACTCTGAGGGAGAAAAGACCTGGCTATCTGCTTCCATAAAGATTACAGCCTAGGAAACCCTATGGGGCAGTTCTACGCTGTCCTGTAGGGTTGTTATGAGTTGGAATCGACTTGACAGCACCCAACAACAACAAAATGTGAAAACGTGTCATTAACCAAGGTTGCATAGCTTGTAAGTGACCAGACAAGCTCCATGTCTTATGCATGCAGCCAATCCCTGGGTTACGAATGAGATCTGTTCCTAAGTCTGTCTTTAAGTTGAACAGATACATATGATTCTTATTTAGCATCGATCAAATGTTTGTCTTAGTATATAGTATATATTTTAGCTATTATGCATATAAAACACTCAAGAAACACTTCCAAACTGCACAATATTTTCATGAGCATCACAAAGTAGTGCATGCGTTCGTTATTGCGAACCATTGTATTTAACTCAAATGTTTAATATAATAGGCTTTATGGCAGTCTGTTCTTAAGTACGAGTTGTCCATAAATCGGATCTTTGTAACCCAGGGACTGCCTGTATATAACTCTCATCTCCTCTTCAAAGCTTGCGTTTTGACCTAGGAAAGTGCTTGCCCCAGGTACAGTGGCAAAGAACAAGTCTGGCTGAGGGACTTCTCTCCCTTTCCTGACTCCCTAACCCCTCTTGGAGCAGTGGTTAAGAGCTCAGCTGCTAACCAAAATGTCAGCAGTTCGAATCTACCAGCCACTCCTTGGAAACCCTATGGGGCAGTTCTACTCTGTCATACAGGCCCCCTATGAGTTGGAATCAACTCGATGGTAACAGGGTTTTTTTTCTGGTTTTTGTTTTTGACCTCTCTTGGGAGCCTTATCTTGGTACTTCATTTTTCCCACAGCTGTTCTTTCAAATATGTTCCTGATTCTTAATAAGGTATCATCAGAAGGTGTCACAAGCTGAACAAGTTCATGCTTCAGCAACACCAGATTGGGCAATAAAAAAAGGATCTTGCCAAACATGAAGAATACACTCAAGAAAAGAGTGAAAATGGTTAGCTTACCCAAGAGTGAGATCAAAAATAGTTCCCAAGTGTGCTATAAAAATAGTAATAAATAATATGGAAATATACAATAAGTCCATATAGATTAAATTGTGATTGGTATGTCGTCTGCTTATCTACTCATTGAAAACCCATTGCCGTCTAGTCGATTCCAACTCATAGTGACCCTATAGTGTTTTCAAGGAGCAGATGGTGGATTTGAACTGCCAACCTTTTGGTTAGCAGCCGAGCATATCTACAGAGAGCTCAAATTGCTCACTAAAGGGAAGTGGTTTAGTTTGGTATAGATAAAAATCCCAGTTGTGGAGTCTCACAGACCTGGGTTTAATTACTGTTTTTCTACTTCCTGATTTTGTGGTCTTGGGCAGATTATGTAACTTTTCAGAACTTCAGTTTCCTTGTTTGCTAAATAGAAATAATGATACCTAGATTTTAGGGTTGTGGTCAAAGGAAATGAGGCAATATGCGTGAAGCTGTCACCATAGTGCCTGACAGAATATTCGATGAATTCCTGTTGTTGTTTTAGCTGCTGTTGAGTCGGCCCTAACTCATGGCAACCCCATGTATTACAGAACAAAACGCAACCTGGTCCTGTGCCATCTCCACAGTTGATCCGATAGTATTCTGTTGTGAACCATAAGGATTTCATTGGCTGGTTTTTGGAAGTAAATCACCAGGCCTTTTTTCCTAGTCTTAGTCTGGAAGCTCCACTGTAACCTGTTCAGCATCATAGCAATATGCAAGTCTCCACTGACAGATGGGTGGTAGCTGTGCATGAGTTGCATTGGCAGGGAATCATACCTGGTCTCCCGCATGGGAGGTGAGATTCTACCACTGAACCAGCTCTTCCAACTCCCTAATGCATGGTAGGCAGCATTATTGTTAAAGGAGCGAGTATGGGAAGAAATACTTCCAGACTTAGAAGTAATAAAACCACATTTCTTGAAATATATTCTTCAGCTCAGATGTTTTCCTTGGTTTGGCAGTTCTCTCTCTCTTTCTCTCTCTCATGTACTGCTTATCTTCCAGGGTGAAAGCAAAGCAAATGTACAAACATTAGTTTACAGCTTGACGAAACTCTAATGAGCTTTCTGGAAAAACTAAAAAATTATTCCCAATTTTCTAGGAAGGAACTGAAGAACAAAGAAATCAAACAAGATTCTCCAGTTTGCAGGATGCCCATTGTAGAACCACAGGCACACTTGTATCTCTCAACTTTAGTTGGTGGTTACCTAAGAGATGATAAAGCTTGTCTTTTCTATTCCAAAAAGTGCCTTGACAACAAGGTTTGCCTTTGAATTTTTAATCAGAACAGGCACCACTAGATCCATAGAACAATTTCAGTTAAAGCACTTAGTATGAAGTTAAAAAAAAAAAAGAAAAAAAAATCTATTGAATCCCATGACTCTCAACCAAACTCTTTCATACAGGAAAGTGAAGGGCGTACTCAGGGTGCAATGCATAGGAGGACCCAGATTTTAAGTTCTGAATCCTATAATGATTTCTTTATTTTTTTTCCCCCTTCTATGTTTTTCAGGTACTCTCCCCTGGGTATTGCCTGCCTAATTTGTGGGAAGATCATTGCAATCAAGGACTTGGAGGTGGTTGCTAGGCAACTGGGGATGTACATGGTAACGGTGATTGTGGGCCTCATCATCCATGGGGGCATCTTTCTCCCCTTGATTTACTTTCTAGTGACAAGGAAAAACCCTTTCTCCTTTTTTGCTGGCATTTTCCAAGCGTGGATCACTGCCCTGGGGACTGCTTCCAGGTAAAGAGTATAAGAAATTACCTTTTTTTCTCCCCACTAACTCCTTTATCCTCTTTCTCAAGAATCTTCCATCACAAAATTCAGTGAGAACGCTTTTCACATATTTTTTAAATATTTTTGAAAAGGTGAACCCTTTGCATTTTTGGCTCCTTCTAGGACCTTCTGACCTGTCTGATGACCATTTTTTGCCAGTATGCTGCTATACTGGAAATACACTCTCATATTAAATTTTCCACATTAATCCATGCTATCAATTTGCATGCCTAATTGCCACATGTAGATTTGCTTAGTTTAGTTTAATATGTTTTCCAAAAGGGTATAACAGGATGTTATTCTATTAGAAATTCTCTAAACTGTGATTTGCAAAATGCTATCACGAAACATCCCTCTATTGAAAGTAATTTTCCCAAAGTAGGAGAACCAGCTTTTACAGGGCAAATAGTTTGCTAGGTGAGATTTCCAGGCCAGCAGAAGTCAGGCAAGTCTTTGAACTCTGTGTGAACCTGTAATGGACCATTCTGCCCAGCTTGATTTTCTCATGACTAACCCTGTGTGACATTGACTGAGGGTCCGTTTCTCCTTCACTAGATAGCCCCAGTGCCTAGGAAGCCAATGAAGACTCCAGAGACATGCAGAATATTTTTGTTTTTTTTTTTGGATTTCATCTTGGACTGAGTTTAGAAAACAAAACCAACAAATACATAAGAAATGTCTGGCAATTTAGAATTTCAAAGACTAAGACTAGTTTTATTCTTTCAGCCTGCACTAAAAAAAAAAACCAACCCATTGATGTCGAGTCGATTCCAACTCATAGTAACCCCACAGGACAGAGTAGAACTGCCCCATAGGGTTTCCAAGGAGTGGCTGGTAGATCCGAACTGCTGACCTTTTGGTTAGCAGCCGTTGTTCTCATTTCTGCACATGCATTTTTTGGGTCACAAAACTAAGACCATAAAACTGGTAGCAGGGAGGCAAGCAAGCCTGAAACGCATAGCTCAGCATTATCTCTGGAGTCACAGGTCTGCCAGGCCCTTGTTGTAGGACCCATGACCCATTCCCATGACCAGGCACTGCAGTGTAGTGGCCAATCTGGGACACAGTGCAGCCTGTGTTACATGGCTGCTGAGCAAGCAGTCAGTTTTCCCTAAGTGACCTAACAGATGGTTGGTGGTGACTTCCTGGAAAACCCAATTATAGATTCATCTTGCAAATCAATGATAATTCACTTCTAGTAGAATGTGGGATTTCAGCAAAAGCTGAAGTATATAAAACCCTTGGGATCCAGATTCAAGTATCTAGTTTCCTAAGATGAAGAAAGCACTCTAGAATTTCCTTTTTCCTTCTTTGTCCTATACATTTTCTATGGCTAAAATTTCCCCTGGCTAAATAGCTCTAGTCATAAAGACTCCACCCTTTGGAGAAAAAGGAAAACTTTTTTTCCCCCCAAAAATGAAAGCAGCCTTATTTAGTTTTGTTTCTCTTTTTTGCTCATTGTGAAAATTCAGACAGTGAATAAAATTTTGAAGAAGAAAATGAACATCCCCCGGTATCTCATCCTCCAGTGATAATTTATATTAAACTTTTAGTTAATCATTCCAGTTTTTATTACATGTATATGTATTTCTTTGCAAACTGCTATTTTTCACAAGTCAGCATATCATAAAAATTGTATCTGCTAATGTAGATCTTTACTACTTTTTTTTTTTAATTGCATAAGAATGTACTATATGTAGTACAATCCAATACCTCCCTCCACCCCTGGTGTTGTACATATATAAGGCATGCCTATTAAACAGACCTGTGATAATAATAAATGCAGTGATAATGCATTGCAATTATTGTAGTAATAAAACTAATTACATTCCTAGAAATACCTCTCTGTAAGGCTGCCTAATTATCCCTTCAGGATAAATTTCTAAATGCAGAATTTTAGAGTTAAATGGCAAGCACATTGACAGATTTGAAACATGTCACCAGATTGCTATTAAGAAAAGTACCATCATTTTGTGTTTCTACTAACTGGGTTTGAGAACATGCCTTTCTCCACCTGCTCACCAGCACTGGATTTTATCAGGCACCTTACTATTTCACCAATTCTATTGGTGAAAAATGGTCTCATTGAATTTATATTTCTTTGATTACTAATGAGAGGAAATATCATTTTGTGTTCTTATTGACCATTCTCTCTCCTCCCCCGCCATGAATTGTTTGTGATCTTGCTAATTTTTCTGTTGGGGTATTTATTCTTTTCTTATTGGTTTTTAAGCACTCTTTATGTATGAATAAGAATATTAACTTATGCATCTCATGTTGCAAATAATGGCCACCCCTCCATTGATATTTGTCTTAAAAATTTACAATGACTTTTGCCACTAGACATTTTTAATTTGCAAGTAGTCAAAGCTGTGAGTATTTTCCTTTAGTATTTAGAATTTTGATTTTGCTCAGGAAAATCTCCATCAAAGATTGTACCATCTTATGTTTTCTTTCAATAGCTTTATGGTGTCAGTCTTTAAACTATTTCAAAAATATTATTATTATTTTTTCTTTTGAATGACTAACCAATTATCCCAGAACCTTTACAAGACAAAGTAAATCTTCAAGGGACACGTGTGGCTCAAATTTGTATTAAATCAAAGACAAATGCTTGGATTATCTAGCCAAAGCCACAAATGGTAGACCCATTTCTTCCCCCTTTCTCTCTATATTTCATTTGAGAAGTGAATGTGGTTTTAATCTTTGGTTAAAATGTGGCTTTTGCCTGGATGTGGAATTTCTTGTTTAAAAAAAGTTAATGTGGTAGGAGTCACATACCAAGAATTAACTCAGAGTTTCTTTTGCCATTATGGCCACAGGGAAACAATGCAGAGCCCAGAGACAGCCAGATAAACATTCTTTCTGCCTCCTCAGTCCTTGGTCTGAATGGGGATGTTGGAGATGGTTGACTGGCTTTTCTCAATGGGCACAGAGGCTGGTGTCAAGATGGGCAGATGGAGGAAGCATGGCCTGGGACAGACCTCTCTGCATTGCTCCAACTGCAGTGCATTCTGATAAAACTGGTTTAGAAAAGAAAATGCCAAGTATCTGACAATTATTAGTAGTAATATTTGAAGATTGTCATATGACCATTGAGACAGGAGCCAAAAACAAAACAAAAACCCACCAAACCATGTCAGCCTGTCAACACAGGAAAGAGTTAAAATTCTCAATCCTTGCGTTTCAGATTGGCTTAATTGGCTATATATGAATTTTAAAGACACAAAGCCTGTCCAATGGAGAAATAGAGGATATTTTCATGCCTAAGCAATTATTTTTCTCAATCTATTTAATTATCTAAAAACCTTTTGATGACATTTTGGAAAAAAGAGTGCAATAAGAAAAAACTAATGTATTCTAGTGATCCCAGCAGTGCCCTTAAACTCATAGGATTGAGAGTCCTGGCCTCCAACCACAGCTGTGCAGCCATTTCAGCCCAGGCATGGGGCCCTGGAAACCCTTGAAAAGGGCCTCAGGAAAGGGGGGTGGTGAGAGGAATAAAGGAAGACTAACTTCCTATTAAAGCAGCTGGAGCAGCAAGCCAGGTAGGATCAATCACATCACCTACATCCTCAAGTTTTTTCCCTGGGTTTAGAGGGTTTTAGTAATGAGGCACTACCTGGGTGGTGCAAACGGTTATGCACTCAGCTACTAACCAAAAGGTTGAAGGTTCAGAATGAACTCAACAGCAACTGGTACTGGTAGTAATGAGGTATTCCCAAACATTTATTTCTTCTCCCTACTCAAGACCAAGGAGGAGGCATGAGATAGATATCTGACCTGAAGGAATGTTCCAGTAAGATGACTCTGGCTCCCCTAAAGTTGTTATGAGGAGTTCATGGATCAGTGGTTTTCAAACATCAGTGGTTTGATAAAATTCGTATTTGGGTATCCCTAATTTTAGAGCTTCTGATTCCTTGGTTCTGAGTAGACCCAGGAATCTGCATTTCATTTAGCTTTAGCCCTCTTCCATTCTCTAAGAAACCAAAACCACTATAGTTGTCTATATCCAGCTCTGCTGGTGCCCTAATTCTGACCAAATACAAGGGAACCAAGACTGGAGCTATAAGTGCAAGAGAGAAAACACCTCCAATTGCTGTCCACATTAGAATTTTCCCAGTTCACTTTGTTTAAAAAAAAAAAAAATCAAAAGAGGATGAACCACAGAGCTCTCCTGTGTCAGTTTTAGCCTCCTGCATTGCTTTTCACATTACTTAAGCTTTGAAGCGAATCCACCCACCTACCACGCGCCTCTGTCCACATGGAAATAATATTCTGGCCTTCAACAACACTTATCCTTACAGGTCTCCAATTTTAGAAGACTCATGAATGTCTCAGGAGTCCTGGCCCTAAGGCTGGGTCATGCAGTCATTAAATCTCCATCCTAGGCTGGGAGGAGTGGGGGTGAAGTCACTCCATATTGTGTCTTTGACTAGTTACAGCTCAGATGCTTTTCTGCCCTATGTCATTGGAAAGACTCGAGAGTTGGCAGGTGCCCATGTATCAGGGAGCTGGCCTGTCTATGAGGTTCCCCAGTGGACTGCTAGAAGCTTGGGTTTGTGTTGAATGGTGCTTGCTGTGTTTGTCCAGCCTTATCAGAATTAGTAGGACCAGCTCAGGGCAATTCGCAGTGGCTGGACACAATCCATGCAGTCATCTTATTGGAAAGAGCATGTCTAGCATGAAATTATGGGTCATTCAAAAATTTCTGATTCTATTTCATTATTGATGGCTTATTCTTTTCTGACACAATTTTTTCTGCATCCCAGTTAATGTGAGTAATCAGATGCGTTTCAGTATTTAGTCCAAGATGGAAACGGTGACCAAAGTAAAAAGAAAACTTGAAGCTTTAAGTAGCTCCCAAAAACCTGAACCAACAGAAATATTTTGCTGCCTGTTAGCATCTTTAAAAAGATTGAATTTGAGCCTCCAATTTGCTGGCTTTTAATTTGGCTGCAGAAGCAGATTCTTTGCATGTCACTTAATTGAAACAAAAGAACACAAACTTTGGTGGCATTCCAGTTTGTGCTTTGTCCTGCTTCTCTAAAGTGGACATAACCTTTGTTTCTCTCTTGTTCTCTTTGTCTCTTAGTGCTGGAACTTTGCCAGTCACTTTTCGTTGCCTGGAAGAAAATCTGGGGATTGATAAGCGCGTGACCAGGTTTGTCCTCCCTGTGGGAGCAACGATTAACATGGATGGCACAGCCCTTTATGAAGCGGTGGCCGCCATCTTTATAGCCCAAATGAATGGTGTTGTCCTGGACGGAGGTCAGATTGTGACTGTGAGGTGAGTGAAGTGGGTGGGGTGAAGCACTGAAACAACCTTCCACTCTATTCCCCCTCCACGTTAACTCCATTTGTCCACTTGAATTTCAGTTCTCCTGGTGAAAGAACGATCAAGAAAATAGCAAGAGGAATTGTTGGCAGGCTCAAAGGGAAAGATTGTGACAGGAAAGAGGCAGACTAATAGTAATGCCTTCTGTTTGTGTTGTTGCACATGTGAAATTGCTTTGGAATTTTGAGATTTGATTTTTAACGATCCTATTAATGTAGGCCCTGGTAGCACAGTGGTTAAGAGCTCAGCTGCTAACCAAAGGATTGGCAATTCGAATCCACCAGCTACTCCTTGGAAACCCTATGGGGCAGTTCTACTCTGTCCTTTAGGGTTGCTATGAGTCGGAATCAACTTGACAGCAACGGGTTGTTTGGTTGTTGATTATGTAGGTGGAGTCCCTGGGTGGTGCAAACAACGTGCTCAGCTGCTAATTGAAAGGTGGGAGATTTGAATCCATCCAGAGGTGCCTTGGAAGAAAGGCCTGGTGAGCTACTTCTGAAAAATCATCCATTGAAAGCCCTATGGAACACAGTTCTACTCTGACACATATGGGGTCACAGATGGAATTGCCATGAATCAGAATTGACTTGCTGGCAACTAGTTTTTAGTATGTAGGCAGGGCAGTTTTTTCTATACCCATTTAACAGATGAGGAAACTCAGGTTCCAAAAGGCGCAGTTGTTTGTTCAAAGTCACACTGCTGGTAATGTGCTGGCAGGGCTGTAACCAGGGCTTACATCAGCTGGCTCTGGGTCTAGTGTTTGTTTCATTATAATATGCCCCCTTCAACATTCCAGAGGGGGATGACAGAAATGATGAAATACTGCAAGGAAGAAATTCCTGAATAGGACGCATAACATTTTGTTGCAAGTAAATAGCACATATTTTTGTTTTCACTGAAGCTATTTTTTTCTTTTCTTTTTTTAAATTGTACTTAGATAAAGGTTTTCGGAACAAACTAGCTTCTCATCAAACAGTTGGTCCACATACTGTTTTATGACGTTGGTTAACAACCCCATGACATGTCAATACTCTCCCTTCTTGACCCTGGGTTTCCTATTACCAGCTTTCCTGTCCACTTCTGCCTTCTAGTCCTTGCCCCTGGGCTAGTGTGCCCATTTAGTCTCATTTCGTCCTATGGGCCTGTCTAATCTTTGGCTCAACGGTGAACCTCAGGAGTGACTTCATTACCGAGCTAAAAAGGTATCCAGGGGCCATACTGTTGGGGTTTCTCCATTCTCTGTCAGGCCAATAAGTCTGGTCTCTTTTTGAGTTAGAATTTTGTTCTACATTTTTCTCCAGCTCTGTCCAGGACCCTCTCATTGAAGCTATTTTTACCATATGTGTTCATCAGAAAAAAAAAAAAAAAATTCAGAGAGAACATTTGCCCAAGAGGCCATTAAAACATCACTTCTACATGAATTTAAAGACCTCGCCTACTGGCCAATCCAACTCTTTAACTTCCTGTTTATAGGTAGGGTTGTTGAAAACATCAGTCTTCAAACCATTCAAGGTTGTCTTGACCTTATAGCATAGAATAAAATGCCTTGTCATCATCATCATTCCCACTCCAAGTGGGAGCTTCAGTTAAGCCAGTACCCCTGGCTTCAATTAAGGAAAAAAGCGGTGAGCCAGCTGTAAGGATTTATTCATGTCCTACTGCTACCACGCTGTGTCTCAATTGCCTCATCAGTAAGAGAGGAAGGTAGATTAAGAATCAAAAGGTGTACATTGGCGGTGCATGGGCTGACTCCAGCCCAGAGTCTTGCTTTGTTTGGCTGAAATATATTGTAAAAATTGGAGTTTCAGTATCTTATATGGCACGTGTTCCCAGTTCACCACAGTCCCCACTGCTCCCTATTACTTACACTTGACCTGCTTCACCCACCACCACTGCTTGGCCCTTTAGACATTTGAGTTTGTGAACCTTGGACTCTGTGTTTCCCGTCCTCTCTTGGAACTCTATGAGATCAGTAAATACAGGCGGAAGGTGGGTCACGTTCTGCATAATGAACACAGTTGCAGTAGAAAGAGAATTCCAAACAACTGAAACAGCCAAGGCCCAGGTGATTCATTTTGGGAAATGAATTGTGTAGATACTAAAATACAGTCAGGCTCTATAAAGGTAGTAGCTTTCTTGGGAACTCTGAAGTGGTGGGATCTTTATGTACATTGTCTCTAACATGTCCAACAACCCTGTAGAGAAGGGGTTGTCATCATCCCCATTTTATAGAGGAGTAAAGTGAGACTCCAAGAAGTTATCTGACAAACCAGTGTCTGATGGTTATGGGTGCCAAAGCTAGGAGTCAAATCTTTATCCGCACCCAACCTCTTTCACTTACACTGTATCATTTCTACTTTCTGACTGTGATCTAAAGGAAAACACTAACATAATGTTTTTTTTTTTTTTCCATTGGGTGTTGAGAGGCCAGTGTCCTTTGGGTTCAGATTAAGGCACTGGTCTCTTTTCCTCATACTTTAAACTTCAGGACATAAGGTAAACATTTATATTAGAAATTCTGGTAATAATGTGGTGTTTCGTTGGCCCATTAGTATTCAGAAGTTCATTCTCTGGGAGGCCTTTGCTGGTCCAGGAATCCTTAGAAAACTTCTCCTAAGAGATGGGGTCCATTTGAGTCTGATTTCTCTACATGCTTTACTTTGTTAAAAGTCTAAGCTTAGGGACTGACCAGTGTCTCTAGTAATGGCTGGAAATCACCAACTAGTCATATCCTTTACCATGTTCCAGGAGGTGATACTGCAGTGGAATTACCATTTCTGAGGCTGTGCTTGATTGATCTAGCTCTGAGGTACTTAACTAACTTAGGCACATTTGTATTTAAACATAAATTTCTCTGTTCTTCTTATAACCATTCCAAAAGATTTAGTGAATACCTGTATGCACCTGAGCTCAGATCAGCAGCTAAGTCAGCAAAGAAGAAGAAAAACTCACCAGGTTTTACAGATAAGCACGCACACACATGCACACTGAAAACATCAGTAATAACCACGTTTATTTAATCAGCTATAACATCATCTTGAAATTTTCCTAGAGTCTCTCTTGTCCAACCATCTAATCTAATCTAAGGAAGCTGGCATCAATTCTTCTTCGGTCTTCTTTACTCGTTGTCCAGCTTTCCCATGCGTATGAGGTGACTGAAAACACCATGGCTTGGGTCAGGTGCACCTTAGTTCTCAAAGTGACATCTTTGCTTTTTAACACTTTGAAGAGGTCTTTTGCAGCAGATTTGCCCAATTAGACATCACTATTATCTCCTTCATACAGTTGAGAAAACTGAGGCACCCAATGAGAGTTTAAATTGCCCAAAGTCACATGGTTAATAAATGGCAGAGCTGGGATTTGAACCCAGGTAGTTCAACTCCAGAGCCTACACTGATGACCACTACCCAGTGGATTCAAGGAAAACCAAGATCTCTGAACCCTGACACCAGCTCCACATTGGTGGGGCAAAAGAAAGCATAGATGGGTTCTGTAGACCACATCTAGGAGAAGTGTCTATGTGACAAGCCTAAATCTGGGAAGGATGACAATATGGAGAAACATCACACCAATTGCATTAGCCAACAACTTTTTATGTGACGTAGACAAACCATAAAACCTCACAGGGCCTGTTTCCTCATATGTAAAGTAAGATGTAGGTAAACCGAGGTCCCTTTCAGCCCTTGTTGTTTTTAGCTGCCACTGAGTTGGCCCCTGACTCCTGGTGCCCCCCGTGAACAACAGAATGAAATGCTACCTGGTCCTGCACCATCCCCACAATCATTGCAGATCAGACCATTGTAATCCATAGGATTTTCATTGGCTGATTTTATGAAGGCCAGGCCTTTCAGAAGACTTACAGCCCTACAGACCCAGAATTCTGTGTTTGGTAACACTGGTGGACTGGACCTGGTTAAACCAGTTTGGGAGGGTGGCTTTCAGACTGGAGCCTAAATGCCCACTCTAACTGTAGAATTTTATAACCACGAAAAGAGTAGTCCCCTTTTCTTCTCAGCAGCCCCAAAATGCTAGTTGGGAATCAATATTTTCAGAAGCATCCTTCCATTTAAAACTGATAGCTTTTATAAATAGCATCCAGAAGAGAGAAGTCACTGCCATTTGCTGGACCACAGAGACCCACCTGGTGTCTGGACAGGGCACTTGAACCTTGGGTTTCCCTTCTCCCAGACACGAACTTCAACATGGTGTTGGGTGTGCCCTCAGCATCGTTGGGAAAGAAAATTATAAGATGCTTTGGAGAGAAAGCCTCCCTTTATTTCACTGTCATTTCTTGGAATTCTCTCCCTGAATAATGTATTTTCCAGCTCACGGTGAAACATCCAGGCGTCTGAAGCTTAATGTTATTTGGAATCTGTTGATTTGTTCCCCTGATGTCCACTCAGTTGGGTCTGGATGTTTGCTGAGTTCTCATGTTAACGTTGGCAATGGCCTCCTCAGACATTGCCACACTGTCCAAACGTCTCTGGTGCTCATGGAGACTTAAAGGCGTAAGCAGAGATGAATGCAGTTGGGTTCCCATGGAGGAGTTGAGGGTGATTTGTTTTTCTCCTTTAAAATTTCCTTGCCTGTTGTTAGAGCCACTCTTACCTGATTTGAGCCCTGTGACACATTAGACTAATTGGATACCATGATGGGGATAAGGCTCTGATCCATGAATGTATTAACTTCCATCACAACTGAGCAGAATCCAAATAGACCCGAATTCCTGGGTCTCTGTACTCTAGATTTTTCTATTCCCTGGGGGGAAAAGGCATTTTTATGACTGCCCAGAAGATTAGAGCTTAAAGTTGTCAGGGATGGTTTCCCCAAGGCTTCTTTCTCTCCCCATGACCTGGTCTTCTCTGTTCTTGTAGCCTCACGGCCACCCTGGCGAGCGTTGGTGCCGCCAGCATCCCCAGTGCCGGGCTGGTCACCATGCTCCTCATTCTGACTGCTGTGGGCCTGCCCACGGAGGACATCAGCCTGCTGGTAGCTGTGGACTGGCTGCTGTAAGTGCCTGCGGAGGGGGTTCTGCTAGGGAGTGAGCAGGGGCGGATTATCTAATAAGGAAGGTAAGCACTATGCTTACCTTGCTTACCAGATGATCTGTATTGAACCCATGTGAAATTGTTCACTACAGATTAGTAAATTAGCACAAGCTCGTGCTTACCTTGCTTACTGGATCATCCGCCCCTGTCAGGGATTGTAAATTTAAAAAGAGGCTTTGATTCTGTAGGAAGGTGTTGTGGGGTTGGGAGAGAGACAGATGCCAGCCATACCTAGAAGGAGAATCTTTGGTGTGGTGAAAAAATGTGAAATGTTCACTACAGATGATCTGGTTAGGCAAGGTAAGCACTGTGTTTACCTTGCCTATTGGATAATCTGCCTCTGGGAGTGAGTGCTGCCTCCCAATGGTGGTAGGATGCCAGGTGACAGCCAAGATCTTAGCCAATCCCCATGGCAACTCTCTCCTTCTTCCCTCCCTCTCTCCAACACTTACTGAGTGCCTACTCAGAAACCAAAGAAGAAAAAGATGGAGTCTGAGGGCCTCACAATCTAGTGGGAAAATCTGATAGTTTATAACACAAAATTAAAAGCATCATTTGGGAGCGAACTACTGATGGGTGCAGTGAATCTCAAAACCTTATGCTGGATGAACGAAGCCAGCCCCAAAGGAGTATATACTGCATGATTCCGTTTATATGAAACTCCAAGGAAGGCAATATACTCTATAGCAGTAAAGAGATCGGTGGTTGCCTGGGCCAAGGTAGAGGCATGAGGATTAACTGCAAAGGGCACAAGGAAAGCTTTTGGGGTAATAGAATGTTTCATTTGCAGCGTTATGCACAGGAGTCTACATTTGTCAGACCATGCACTGAAAATGGGTACATTTTATTGTATGCAATTTATATTTCAATGAAGTTAATTAAAATATTAAAGTACATGAAATATAAAAGCAGGTAAAAGCACAGTGAGAAAGGCTTCTATTCCAGTCTAGGATGGAAGGGCAGAGTGCACACTACCAGGAAACAATGAAAATGGCTACTGAATTTTGACCGCACACGACTTGCCATCTGCTATACCAAGCGCTTTACATCTTCCTCTTATAACAACCCTGAAAGGTTGATGTTATTACCCCCATTTTACAGATGAGGAAACTGAGGTTTAGAGAGGTAAAGTGACTTGAGAATGAACAGAGATTCAAGTTCATGTCAACCTGACTCTGGATTCTGTTATATTCTTATTCACTGCCATAGTCTAGCATCTAAAGGCAGTGATAGCTGAGCTGAATCACAGTGGTTAGGTAGAAGTTACTCAATTATACAGTGGGGTGGAGGGGTGGACAGGAGATTGCAGTCGGGAGGGCCAGCCTGCACAAAGGCATTGAGGCTATAAAGAGTGTGGGGACCTGTGCGCCATTTAGTGTTGTTGGAGCACAAAGTGCAAGGCAGGGGAGTGGTGAAAGGTGAGGCAAGATGGACAACCTTGAAGGCCAAGCTGAGGCGCTTGAACTTGATCTTGTATGTGTAGCCCAGCTACCTTTCCCAGTTAAGGACATGTTCCTAGTGTAGGAGACTCGCTGCCCATTTGCAAAGACAGACAGGTCTAGACAGATGGTCACCAAGGAGGAGATTGGAATCAATCCTCTCTGAGGGTCCATTTGGACTTCGATGTTCTGTGAAATGTACACAGAAGCTTCCTGCACAGTCTTGGAGCTAAATGCTAGGAGATGGGGAAGATGCTCTCGGCTTCAACATCAGGTTCATAGTGACAAGTGCTGGCACCTAGGTCCCAAGGCCAAACTGCACACACTTATTTTTTAAACTGTCTCATATGCCAGTGGCAATTTTTCTGACATTTATCAACATAGGTTTTAAATGCCAGAAGCCACACTTTATGGACTTGATTTTCCACTGTGCTAAAACAACAGTTCTCCCTTCCACACCCCCTCTTCCCAACCAAACCAAACCCCTGCTGTCCAGTTGATTTTGACTCATAGCAACCCTATAGGACAGAGTAGAACTGCCCCAAATGGTTTCCAAGCCTGTAAATCTTTACAGAAGCAGACTGTCACATCGTTCTCCCATGGACCCCTTCTTTCAAAGAGAGAAAAATGCAAGTGGCTGAAAGGAAGAAGGATATAGAGGCAGGCTAGAAGGAAGCCTGATGTCTCCATAAAATTTGACTGTTGCTGGTGCAGTGAGTGGCGTTTAGGTTTGAAATAAGAAGTGGCTGCCCGGACGTGATCTATTCAAATCAAGAGGGCTACGAGAAGTTCATGGCTCTTCCTAACTGCTTGTTTCATCACCAGAGAAATGCTCTGAAGTGCCTTTTGTAGAGAGGTGAAGAGCAAACTAAATAACCTTAGGAGGCCTGTCTGTCTCTGCCTGTCTCTTTCAGGTGGTGACGGGGGAATCCTTCCATACTAGCTTTGTTGTTCTCTGTGCCCTATGTTGGCTCCAAGGGGCAGCCTTTATCATGAAGTCTATTCAGACAAGGCATGCATGGAGGCAGCTAAGATTAAATTGTGGTGTATGGGTGGGAAGGATTTGGAGAGAACAGGATGAAGGAGGATAACAGCTGGAGTAGGATTTGGATGGGGAGGGGAGCAAAGGGGAATGAAGACATTGGCAACGGTTTGGGGGCAGGGCACATAGTTGGAGATCAATGCGTGTGGGCTAAACTTGACCACAGAGGTGCAGTGTGATAATCTGGTACCTTTGCACTCAGCAACAGAGGAAGTTACTCAAATACCATTTGCTTCCCCTGTGACTTGCTGCTTACTTATGACTTCCTTTCTCTGTCTCTCTTTCACTCTCGCTCTTGCTCTGGTTCTCTCTCTGTGTAATCATCACCACTATTTCTTTCCAAAAATTTTCATGACCCCAAATAGAAACTCTGTTCCTATTAAGCAGTAACTCCCCATCCACCCTCCCCACAGCATCTGCTAACCACTGATAAACCTTTGTCTCTATGTACTTGCCTATTCTAGATATTTCTTATAAGTGGGACCATACAGTATTTATCCTTTTGTGTGTGACTTATTTCACTTAGTGTAATGGTTTCAAGGCTCATCCATGTGGTAGCATGTTTCATTACTTCATTTCTCTTTATGGCTAATATTCTACTGCATGTATATATGACACTTAGTTTATCCATTCATCTGTTGATGGACATTTGGGATGTTTCCACCTTTTGGCCTCCTTGTTTCTTGATATTCCTCCACTGGTGTTGTCATGGACAGTCCCTTACTTTGTGTAATTATATGGCCTAGTCTTTTTTTTTTTTTTTAATCGTACTTTAGGTGAAAAGGGGACAGTGGGCTGCATGGGCCGGGAATCGAACCTGGGCCTCCCACGTGGCAGGTGAGAATTCTACCACTGAACCACCCATGCAATGCTCCTAGTCTCTTCTGGGGCTTGTTTCTGAGGCTTGAAGCTCACCATTAGAGAGTCATCTCTTTTTAAAAAGTATTATTGCTATGGAATGCTGCCTCCACTATAATGGAAATGCCTTTGAATAGAAAAAGTACAGAATCTATGGGGGATGAGGAAAGGGAGCTGGTATTTGGTAGGTACTGCAATGTTTTTTACATGTTTTCATTTAATCCTTAAAAGAGCCCCGTGGTTTATATTGTTAGCTGCTGTCGAGTCGGCCCTGGCTCATGGTGATCCCATGTTCAATGGAAAGAAATGCTGCCTGGTCCTGTGCCATCCCCATAACTGGTGGTGGGGTGAACCATTGTGATCCATAGGTTTTCACTGGCTGATTTTTAGAAGTAGATCACCAGGCCTTTCTTCCTAGTCTGTCTTAGTCTGAAAGCACCATTGAAACCTGTTCAGCCTCATAGCAACACACAAACTTCCACTGACAGACAGGTGGTGGCTGCTCATGAGGGACATTGGCTGAAATTGAACCTGGTTCTGCATGGAAGGTGAGAATTCTACCACTGAATCACCTGCCATCATGGTATATATTACAAACGAGAAACCAAGAATCAGATAAATCAGGTCTCTTGCCCGAAGGCACAGCAGAGCTTGTGTGGTCAGCTCAGGGCCCTTCTTCCCATCCCGCATGGCCTCCCAGTTATTACCAAGCAGTTCTAACACTGGGGATGTGGAGCAGAGAGATCCAGAGTCAAGAAGGTTGGGGAAGACAACCTATTCAGGTCACACCTGGTTCTACATACTAAGCAGACAATTTTTTGCTTGGCCTGCTTTTTTCCCCTCCCAGGATTAATACAAACAATACAAAAAGCCTAAATGGGGACAAATGGAGTATTGTTAAAATTCAAGTCTTCCAGCCCCAGTAGGTCTGCTATTGTGGGCCTAGGTCTTCTTGGCCATTATTTCCTTTCAAGCCTGATGGATGAGAGGCATTTCATGAAACATTCAAGACCCTGCCTACTTCTGACCCCAATGTTAGGGAATGGAATAGGAGGACTGAGACTTCCCCAGGCACCCCACACGGGTGTTCACATGCTCATACTTGCTCAGGAAAACAGGGCATACTAACTCAAGGGTTGAGACATGCCAGCAGAAGAGAGTTGGCTGAACAGAAATTGGATGATACATTTGGATTAACTCTATTGATGAAGTCACGTATGAGAAAACTCTATCCCAGGCTGGAACTGGAAAGGAAGGAGCAAATGAAGAGCTCTCCTCTAGCCCTGGGGCTCTGCTCTCAGATGGAGGGCTGCCATGTGATCAAGGGGAAGAAATAGGCGGAAGCAGGAACTGTCTATTGGGCAAGAACTTCCTGTCTGGAGCCACGTGTGTGAAGTGGGGCAATAACCTATCAGCTTGCAAGCAAAAGTCTAGTCTGATGCCCTTGAGTGCCCTGCTAGTTTGAAGACCTGGAGTAGATTCTGCTGGTGATGGATGTTTGTATGCAATAAGTGTGAATGTTCCTTTTAAGAAGAAGAGCAAAACAGAGGGAGAGGATCCTGGGAAAATGTGCTTAGGGGTCTGTAGCTAGGTCAGATCTGCTTTGAATTTGTAATGGAGCC